TTATATACCGTAAATTACGTGAAAGATAAGATTAATCAATTACGTGAAAGATAAAGATTAATAGTAACACTAATACTAAAATACAATAATCCTTTATCATCTCCTAAACAACTTTAATAACCGCACCAACTGTGGAGCTTATATAAGTAGAGAAAAATATAGACGTTGGAGAGAATAAACATCTTCCGAGCAATGGAGACGATTATTATGGGAGGAGGAATCGGAGCGACGGTAGTGAGCAACAAGCAAGTCGTGTTACGTGATTACGTCACCGGAGTCCCCAACGAATCCGACCTCGTAATCACTTCGACCACCGTCGATCTCAGGGTTCCGGCGAGATCTATGACGGTGTTGGTGAAAAATCTCTACTTGTCTTGCGATCCCTACATGCGTAACCGTATGAGAAAACCTAACCCCTGGAGCTCTGCTACTGCTCAGTCCTTCATTCCCGGCAAGGTACTCTACTTTATTGGTTTCGAATCGAAGTTTGAAAGTGATGTTTTAGAGGTTTGTTTAGTTACTTAGTTTAACTTTGATTATCACTCGTGTTAAGTGTTTGAAATTGTGTTTGTGTGCAGTGTATCTCTGGGTTCGGAGTGTCTAAAGTGATAGATTCTGGGAACCCAGATTACAGAGAAGGTGACTTGCTTTGGGGAGCAGTTGGATGGGAAGAGTACAGTGTTATCACCCCAATCCCTAACCTTCACTTCAAGATCCTTCATACTGACGTTCCTTTATCCTACTACACCGGAATTCTTGGTTCGTTATCTTCGCCTTCCTCTAGGTCTTTATGATCAACTGCGAAAGCTCGGTCTTGATTGAAGCAAGCAATTCGAAATCTTTGTGTGAACCTTAGTAGCTTTTGAATGGGTAGTGTCTTTATTTGCTCTGTTTCCTGACAGGTATGCCTGGTATGACCGCATATGCTGGGTTTTATGAAGTTTGTTCTCCAAAGAAAGGAGAGACTGTGTTTGTGTCAGCTGCATCTGGCGCGGTTGGTCAGCTTGTGGGACAATTTGCTAAGATGATGGGTTGTTATGTCGTTGGAAGCGCCGGAAGCAAAGAAAAGGTAAACTCTAGCTCAACCAACCGTTTCTTAATTGGGTCATGTTATATCAAATCCCTTGATTTGTTGAGCTTGTTTAGGTTGATCTACTCAAAAACAAGTTGGGATTCGATGATGCATTCAACTACAAGGAAGAAAAAGATCTTACTGTTGCCTTAAAGAGGTAAGTAAATATTTATTTTCTATATAATTCCACAAATCAAATGGAACATAATTAAACTCATTAGAGAGGATTCTCTCTTTTCTCAGGTGTTTCCCTCAAGGCATTGACATATACTTTGAGAACGTGGGAGGCAAAATGCTGGACGCAGTGATTTTAAACATGAGACCGCACGGGCGTATCGCAGCATGTGGAATGATCTCTCAGTACAATCTTGAGAATCCGGAAGGCGTATACAACCTCTCGCTCATTACATACAAACGAATCCGAATTGAAGGATTTACCGTCTTCGATTACTTTGAAAAATACTCAGAGTTCTTGGAGTTTGTGGTTCCGTACATGAGAGAAGGTAAGATAACGTATGTGGAGGATGTTGCTGATGGACTTGAGAGCGCTCCTGCTGCTCTCGTTGGACTTTTTCACGGCAAGAACGTCGGGAAACAACTTGTCGCGGTTTCTCGTGATCTCTGAGCTAGAAATGGAAGAAGATGATCAGTATATAGTCATTGTGAAGGAGGTTGGATTTGTCCCCATATATATTATTGTGCAAGTATATGTATTGTCGAAGCTTTTTAGAGTTTGAAGACGGTCATTTTTCTTCTGCAAGAAAACAC